TTGGATAAATACTACCATCAACCCAATATCTTAATTAATCCATATTTTGGCTATCTAAGTTTAATCTATTTGATCACATAAATTGTTTTCAAGAAACTAATATGTTTAGGAAATAAATAAGTATAAAAACTATTTATTAAATATAAGTAGTCTATTTTCTGTGATTAAAAAAATTAAATTCGAATATTAATACCTCATAGATTCCATCTTAAAAAGTATTTTCCATAGTACTATAATAGCACTTACTAAAAATATCCAAGTGTATTGACTCACAGGTAGTAAATCAAAGTAAATATTATTATAACCTACCGTTCATAAATCTCTCAGGGTTAAGAATTAATTTACTTTAGTAACAGATAAAGAAAATTACCCATGATGGCTCAAGTAATTTTATACATATAAACAATCCGTTCACTGTATCTTAAGATAAGTCATTCTATTTAAGTGTTTCGATCTAGTTAGTAAATCAATGTGCTACATTCCATAGAGTAGAATGTCCAATTCTATTCATTTGAGTGTGAGCATTTATAATTACGAATACTGATGATTTATATCTCCTATGCTCATGGCTACTTTCATGTATGCATAATTCATCCTATCAAAATTAATTGACACTTAGTTCAAAACTCCTGAAACACTCAATACAAACATTCACGAATATTATATGAAAATAAATAAATAAGATTTTATTTTATCTAAATGTCAAAATACAATCATTGGCTTTATAGAGCACACACAAACCCTAACACGAGCCCCATTGATATTTGCTTGGTGATAGTTAGATAAGCGAGAAATGTGGTTTGGCACGCCTAAATTCAAGCCACCCTCACACGCATCCACATGGGCATGCTTTTTAAGCCAAACATGATCTTATGGGTAAAAAAATTAAAAAAACTTGAGACGTGTGGATAAGTGCCTAAGAATCGAAAAGGTTGAGAATTAGTAGAACTAAAAGTAAGTATATGGGGGTGTAAATTTAATAAAGAATCAGATATTGATAATATAATAATAACACTTCAAAATCAAAAGATTACTCAAAACAATTATTTTTACTTATTAAATCGATAATACAAAGTGATGGAGAGATAGATAATGATGTAACTAGTAGAATTGAAGCGAATTGGACAAAATGGAAACAAACTAGTTAGATCTTATGTGACAAAAAAATAATATATAAGCTAAAATGAAAATTTATAAGACCGTTGTTAGACCAAATATGTTGTATGGAGTAAAAAATTGAGATATAAAAAATATAAAATTATAAAATTATCTAATAAAAAATAGTTACAGGTTTTGGTGAATAAATATTGTAGCCGTCATATCCCACTCCGAGATAATGTGTCTAGCGAATGCAGAATCATGGTCCTCATGGAACGAGCATAACACAAGAGACAAGTTTTGGTGACGTCAGTTTATATTGAGCATAACATCAACATCAATTATTCTTATTCGTTACAATTGATGTATTGGTATAACCAATCAATTGAAACGTTCTAAATAAAGTAAAGTGGTTGCCTTTTTAACTAAGGGTCACTTTGCTAAAGTGGAAAGGGAAGGAAAAGGAAAAAAAATAGAATGGCGATGGAAGGAAAAGAAAAGAAAAGAATGTGTTTGGTAGGAAATATTGAAAGGAAAGGAAAAAAAAAATGAAGGTTTTAGAAGGGATGAATAAAGCATGAATAGTAATTTTTGTTATCCTCTTATAAATAGGAGGAAAGGAAAAGAAAAGTTGATATTTTTAATAAAACTTCATTAATTCTAAATTTACCCTTATTTTAATAAAAGACAAATTATATGAAAATGAGTTGTAAATTCATTAAAATAGTTTTATTTCTTTCTCTCTCCAAATATGATTTTTATATTTCATTTCTTTATCTTTATTAATCAACCAAACACGATAAACAATTAAGATTGTCCTTCTCTTTCCTTCCTTTTCTATCTAACTAATGTTATCATTACTTTTCTTTTCCATGATAGCAAACATAGCCTAAACTATTGTGGGACAACTTTATTTTAAACTATTGTGGGACAACTTTGTTTTAATGTACATCCGCTGTAACAAATAATTTCTCTTCTTTCGGGCTATACATTGTAAGCACAACTTCAATATTGTTGTTATGGGGACCTAGAGGTTTTTAACAAGGGAAAATTATAAAAAAGTAAACTTTAGGAGGTCTTATTACCTAGAGATAGAGTCAACATCAACACTTTACAAAGTCATGAATTTTGACTAAAGTCTATATGGACATGGAAAAATATTGTCCATTTTAGGCCTGATCATGGTTCGGTTTGGGAATAAAGATCAAGTCGGATCGGTCCCCACGGATTGGTGAAAATTGAAACCGAACCGATCCGTAGGGGCCTTCAATCCGAATCAAACCGATCCGTGAAGTAATGGATCGAATCGGATCGGTTTTCACATATTGGGTTTTTCAAACAGCCCAATAGATTATGGCCCATTAACAGCCTGATACAACTACATCTGGCTTATTTCAAGTCAGCATTCTGAAAAATAAATTTCTGAATTTAAATAATGCAATACACAAGAATGTAATTGGTATTGTTCATCTTTCCTTCTCTTCAATTTTCGCAGCAACCAAACAGAAAGTTGGGGAAATTCAAGCATACAGGCAATATAGTCGCAGATCTGACACCAAATTCACCAATAGCAAATGAAATTCAACATATGTAACACACACACACATATTTATATCTGTATATACATATATATACAGATATAAATATATGTATATATATTACCTGATATAAGAACGGCCATTATGATTTGACAATGGGATCAAATTGTCGGTGAGAGGAACGGCGGTGAGAGAAGCAACGATGCCTTTGCTGCCGCCGGAGAGAAGGAAAGCATTGCCGACTTCTTTGAAAGAATCTCAGTCGTAGATGTGGACAAAGGCATGAGCTAATCCATTGGCTGATATTAAGAGGGCAACACTGATAGTGAAGAGAGTTGGAATAGCTGTGAAACCCATGTCCTAGACCTAGAGAGAGAAAGTAGAAAGAGAGAGGGAATCAACGAATTTGATGGAGTTTTAGAAGAGGCTGAAGGAGGCGCGGCTATAATGAAATGAGATGGGAGCTAGGGTTATTTGGGAGGTAGGTAAGTAATACGTGTATATATATATATATATATATTATTAACGATTCGGTTCGAATCGGTTTTTTCAAGATCCAATCCGTTAACCGAACCGCAAATGCCGGATTGCAATTTTTCAAACCATCACCGAACCATAAGATCTGAAAACCGAACCAAACCACACGGATCGGATTAGTTCGGACCGGATTGACGGATTATTTGCTCACCCCTAGTCCATTTGCTTAAAGTACCCTTAGTATCTTCGGATACCACTTTTGGGCACAAATGTACCACTTTTGGGCACACAGGTACCATTTTTGTCCAAACAAAGTAATCAAAATGGTCTGCACAAAGAGTGATACATTTGTGCACAAACGTGGTAATTACATGCACCAACGTGCTACCTCTATACAAAAGTGCTACTTACCTGCATAAAAATGGTACATTTGTGTACAAGAGTGGTACCTCTAATCATAAGAGTGGTGGTACCTTTGATCACAAACGCGATACTTATATGTACAGAAGTGATACATCTCTACACAAAAGTAGTACTTACATATACAAAAAGTAGTACCTGAAGATACTAGGATAGTTCGGACAAATAAACAGTATTTTTTCACCTCCACATCAGACTTTAGATGAAAATCATAATATCTGTCTCGCCAACTGAATACACTAATCAAATGAGTATAACTTCATATTTTCATGTTTCTTTCCATTTGTTTGAAAGGTATCCCATATAGACCTTACATTTTCACCAGTAAAGTTTAATCATCTAGGTACCTTAGTCTTATATACATAAACAAGGACATGTCACAACCATAAGTATATTTTTAGTCCAAGAGCCTGTTGACAAATTATCTTTCTATGTATATGATAACAAAAAACTTTTGTCAATACTTCACCACAATATCCACCAAACATGTTAAATCCATGCTAAATCCATGCAATAGACAGTATCACAAGCATGGTATATACTTTTTTTTCACCCCAAAATAGGCATCACAACTTACCAAGAGCATTGTCGAAATCAAGCACTAATCATCTAAAATAAGCAAAACCTACACCTCCTGCAATCCACTTTTTATGCATTATACAGTAAGATTAAGAAACAGTTATTCAAAACTGAGGTACTTTTTCTCACAAAATACAATAAAAAATAAGTTAACATAAAAATAAATAATAAATAAATGCTGAGTCCATGAAAATTACTCATCAATAATAGATATGGGGGTATTGCTGCTTGCTATAATGGTAAAAGCATTGTTAGACAAACAAAAGAATGCAAATTCCAGAATGAGAAATAATGCAAAAGGTTAGGTCTCCCTCTACTCTTCCCTCCCAATCACATCACATAGGGAGACAAACAAACACCGCGCACACACACACACACACATATATATATATCAACTACAATGAAGCATGACACCTCCAATCTTTGGAAATCAGCATCTTCCATTAAATGAATGCACAAGTATCATGTAGTATTCAATGACATGAGAATTTAATAATCTCAACATTCCCATTTGTTGTTTTCTTGTTCTTGTAGCACCTTCAAAATAATGAATGCTTTAAAACAGTTAACGAAGTTGATAAAGAAATCACTGTATCATAAAATCCAAATCCAATCACAGCTTCGGAAAAAAAATATTAAGAATAACATACAAAATGCACCAAAAAACTTGAAACTATGTTGCACCATCCCATTGGAAATTATTGCTTACTCATGCTGACCTACCAAATTAAGTCTATACCCTTGAATCCCTATTTTACTCTTGCTTTAACAATTCACCAAGATTCCAACCAAGCTACACTGCATTCATATCATCTCAACAAATCAATTTACTACAATGAACCCAATGGTCTAAAAGAAAAAGGAAAAAAAAAATACTGTTTCCCAAGCAAAAAAGAAATATAAAAACAACCATTTATAAATCATTGAAAAGTTGCGAGTTTCCCAAGTTTGCAACCTAGCTACACTACATTCTAATCAACTCAATAATCACATAAAGAATTACAAAGAATGTCAATATCCACAAATCGGAAAATGGGCCTTTTACCAAAAAGGTTATCTACAATTGGCAAAAGCTAATGCTCAATATAAACTTCAAAACCGTATATAACATTATAATACCTTCACTGGACACAATCAGCTCTTTGGGTCCTTCTACGTTCATAATCAGGATCATCTGTGGGCAATTCATACCGACAAACAGGACAAGTATTCCGAATGTTCAGCCACGGTAGAATGCAGTCCCCATGGTAACGGTGGAAACATGGTAGCTGCTTTGCTTGTTCACCAGCATTAATGTCATCCTTACAAACTGCACAAAGTACGTCGTTGTTATCCAAATCTTCTTGAGTCAAGACCACCGATGGAAGATTTTTAACAATAGTTGTTGAAGCAGATGGCCTAACCACGAAAGCATTTTCATTCTCCGTTAATTGCCCAAATATCATTTCGTAGTCCTGATCCTCCAAGTAAGGCACAATCTCATGTTCTAGTTCTGTGTTGGACTCGAAATTGTGAACATTTAACAATCCTTCTTCTTGGGACCGAATTAGATCTGAAACCAATGCGTCCAAATCTTCATCAATATCAGCAAAGAACATACTCATTACTTCTCTTTCGTTAACTCTACCATCCACTTCCTCCCACTCAAAACCTTCATTCCCATTCCTTTGATCCTCCAATGGAAACGAATCCAAATGAAATTGAAGTGAATCCAAATGAATCCCAAGGCCCGTATTGTCATCCCATACATTATAATCATCCTCTGAATTCAAATCAATCCCTAAAACTCCAATTTCATCCTCTTCCGAATCTGAATCGATCCCAACAACCCTCATATTACCCAAAAATTGATCCGCATCACCGGAAACGGTGGATGACTCGCACGATTCAGACACAGAGCCCCTTCCCGACATAAAGAAGTCATCACTAGGATTAGCCACCATAAACCCACAACCATCATCATCCTCGGCCAAACCATGCCAATCCCTACAAAACCCTAACCCTAAACCTAAACCCAGATCTAGCTCCAAATGGTTCGAACACATTTCCTCATTTCCTTCAATAACTCCAAAATTCAGGTCCAAATTCGACGCGAAATCGTTATCACCTCCTACAACCGACAATGATTGTTCAACACGTTGTTGAAACGAGTCCATGACGAAGTTTACCTGGCTGTGGCAGTCGAAGAAATCGACGTTCGAGATCGAATTGAACCCAGAAATGTCGTCAGACCCTCGAATTCGATTGGGGTGGCGTTGACGGAGGGCTGTGATTTGAGGGCCACCGAGGCCAAGATTGGACATTGGGGATTCGGAATCTGAGCCGTAGACGTCGAAACTGTGCATGTCGTGAAAGCAGTAAGGGGCAGAGTCGAGGGTTACGTCGTCTTCGTGCCGGTGAAGGGATGCCATTGACGACGATTTGTTCGGTGTAGGTAGGTTTTCAGGTGAGGGACAATTTTTGCAGCGTTTTTTAGGGCGTTCCATCTCTAAAATTAATGCCTGTGGGACCAGGAAAAGTAAATAAAGTAATTAAACACGCGTTTGTTATCTAAAGATTATTGTACACTTTCTTTTTAAATTTGTCATTTCATATTAAATTATTTTTTATTATATTTTTTTTATTTAAATATTAATTATATTATTTATCTTAATTTTATAATTAGTATTAATTAATTATAAAAATAAATAAATAAATTTATAAATATTATTTTATAAAATAATTAACTTATTATATTCATTTTTAAAAAAAATAGTATAAAAAAAATATCTTCTTTTTCAAACAGTATTCATAAAAAATTATTAAATAATGTAAATAAAAAAATCTTCTTTTTAATGCAATATATTAAAGAAAATTAAGAAATTATTTAAATTGTTTCAAAATTTTCTATTTAAGATTTTTATTTAAATAATTAAAGGCAAACTTACGCAAATTTAAGGGAGAATATTTTATGAAATTAGTATGGTTTTTTTTTTTTTTTTTTTTTTTTTTTCCTAGTTAGTACTTACACACTTGTCTCTTCTGAGATTTGAACCCCCGACCTCCTTTTGAAAAGTAAGAGGTTGATACCACTAGGCCATTGACCCATTGGTAATTAGTATGAATTTTTTTCATAATTTATTTCAATAAGAAAAATATATCAAGTGTAATTCAATAAGAAATGATATTATGATCATTTAATGAAATATAGGTAAGACAATTGAGCATTTTGCAACTAAATGTGATAATTCAGGGGGTTTTATGCACGAAACATAGTTCAGGGAGGTTATTTGCAAATTTAGACATAGTTGAGGGGTTTTTTTACACTTAACCCAAAAAATAATAATACTAAAATTAAAATATATATATTATTTAATGCAAAAGCAAAAAAAAGAAATGATTTGCAGAGACTGTGAGAGAAAATAAATAAAAATAGAGTAAGACTTTACCATTTTTTTATCCGAGTCCTTTCGATTTGGGATGCAAGTTGGGCAGCCCAACTCAACATTAACCCAAGGTCAGGTCAAGTTAGGCTAACCGAGCATAACTCGGTGTCAAAGCAGGTTGGGCTAAATCGAACCCGTAGAGTTTGGGTTGGATGGTTTCTAGGTTGCTAAGTTTTTTTTTTACTTTGCGTTGTGGGTTTATCTTGACACCATTCATTACTTATTCACCTATTCCCTATAATTAATGATGAACCGAGAAAGGGGAAGGGGGGGGGGGGGGGGGAGGGGACTTCTTCTTTAACTTGATAAATTAAATGGATATAATGTAAATAGGCTAATGACGGTTTGTTGAGCCTTTAAAGCAATCACAAGTACACAGTGCATTTACAAGGAAAACCCCTCTCAAGTAGGGGAAAAACCTTGGTTATTGGCCTTAGCCAATAATGTCTTCACTAGTTGTATGCAAGTATTTATACACTCAACTGTCTCATATTCTGCACACACCCTTGTACAAGTTGAAACACTAGCTTTCACAGCCTCTAGACACACATTAGCACTACTAAGTGCACACTACACTCTCCCTGTCCACATCACATTTGCTTGTACCCAATAAGCACTCTCAACTCACAAACAATACATATGAAAGGTTACAATCAACAATACTCAAGCTGCGTTTTTTAGCGCGTTCCATCTCTGAAATTACTGGCCGTGTAGGACCAGGGAAAGTAAATAAATAGAGTATCATTTTCAAAAATGATTAACTTATTATACTCACTTTAAAAAAAAAAATTAGTATAAAAAATATCCTCTTTTTTAAACAATATTCATGCAAAATTAATAAATTACGTAAATAAAAATATCTTTTTTTTAATGCAATATATTCATGAAAATTAAGAAATTACTTAAATTGTTTCAAAATTTTCTATTTAAGATTTTTATTTAAATAATTAATTTAAAAAATTAAAGGCAAACTTATGCAAATTTAATGGAGAATATTTCATCAAATTAGTATGAATTTTTTTCATAATTTATTTCAACAAGAAAAATATATCAAGTATAATTAAATAAGAAATGGTATTATAGTCATTTAATAAAAAATAGGTAAGACAATGGGGCATTTTGCAACTAAATGTGATAGTTTATGGGGTTTTATGTACGAAACATAGTTCAGGGGACTTATTTGCAAATTTAGACATAATTGAAGGGTTTTTTTTTTTTTTTTTTTGCACTTTACCCAAAAAATAATAATAAATTAATATATATATATTATTTAACGCGAAAGCAAGAAAAAAGAAGAAAAGAAAAGATTTGCAGAGACTGCGGGGGAAAATGACTAAAAATAGAGTAAGACTTACCATTTTTTATCTGAGTCCTTTCGATTTGGGATGCAAGTTGGGCAGCCCAACTCAACACCAACCCGAGGTTGGGTTAGGTTAGGCCAACCCGAGCATAACCCAGTGTCAAAGCGGGTTCGGCTAAATCGAACCTAGAAAGTTCAGGTTGGATGGTTTCTGGATTGCCAAGCATTTTTTTTTTTACTTTGCGTTGTGGGTCCATCTTGACACCATTCATTACTTATTCACCCATTCCCTATAATTAATGATGAACTGAGAAAAGGGGACACTACAACAAATATCATTTTCACCGGTATTTTTTTTTTCGTTCGTCGCTGTTAATTAATTATTTCCATACTAGCGGTATATTAAAAAGTGCCGAAAAATATTAATTATTTCCGGCAGTCTTTTTAAAAGCGCGGGAAAATATAAATTATTTCCGACAGTTTTTTAAAAGTGCTGGAGAATATAAATTATTTACCACAGTTAAAAATAGTGTGCCGTTAATAATTTATTTGTTATTATTTTATTTATTATTATTATTTTCCTAATATAGCAGATTTTGGGTTGGGTTAGGTTTCATATCGTGACTCCTTTCTTCTCTCTTACCCACGACATCAAGGCTTGGTGTGTTGAAAAATATGTTGAGTTTGTGCGCAGTGAAATGGTTGTGGAATATAATATGGACAATTAACCTAGAAGGATGGTGAATAGATTTAACTTGTTCCTTTATCCAATTTTTACTTATTTTAATTTTATCGAAATAAAACTAAAATCAAACAACAAAACAAAAATAAAGTACAAGTAAAGTAAATAAAGTTTGAGAGATGACACCAGGATTTTTAGTCAGGAAACCCCAATTAGTAGATCGAATAGACCAATTACGGGAAAAACCTCATTGGACTGTGCAGTCCAGAGATAAACGATCCACTGTGTTTGAAGCAAAGTACACTGAATTTTGACTCAGACTCACACCCTATCGTTCTACCAAAAACCAATCGCTGACAATCCCTGACTTTGTGACTCCCCCGTCCAACAACTCTCGACCTCAGGCTTACTCTCAATCTCTGTAGAAGAGTTGCAGGTAGATTAAACAACACTCCATGAATGCTTTGACCCCTTCAAAGTGTGATCACTTCACCCCTTTTCTTCAATATCTGAATATGACGAAGAACGAATGAATTCTGCTTTTTGAAATTTCTAAATCTTTAATTATGCTCCAATTTTGATGAGATATAGAACAACACTCCTAAATCACTATTGTGTTTATGTGTGTGCTCTCAAAAATAAAATCAGAAAAATCAGATTGATTTTCTGAATAAAAATATCTCTCAAAATGCTTTCAATTAGATTTGAATTTTGTATGCAAAAGCCATGTATAAACCTAGGTGACTATCAAGGTTTATATAGACTTTAGAATGTCCTAATCTCTCTGAAAATATAGAAAATTTCGTGCATAAGACTTAAACCAAATTTGGTCCAAAAAGGAATCAAAATGGAAAAAGAAATTGAAGTTCTATACTGATCAGGACTTCTTAAACCGATACATGGATTTGTCTACCGATTTAGGATGAACTGAACCTATTCTGACGTACTTTGGCTACCGGTTCCCATTAGACAGAAGTGAATCTGCTATTTGGCTACCCGTACCAGATTTTGGCTACCAGTAGCAAAAAGACAGAATGTAAATTTTTTTAACACTTCAAACTTCTAAAACTTCCTAAGGGTTCTCACTTACTCACATACCATTCTAAAGCATTGTTCTCATCATCCCGGAGTATAGTAAATCATGAACTCTTGAACTTCTTCAAATTCGCATCCGATCTTCAATCTTGAAATTTTGAACCAAAAAATTACAACTTGATCAGACTTATTTTGACAGCGAAATTAGCCAATATACAATATATATATTTTTCACAATCTCCACAAAAAAATATATCTCACAATCTCCTCCTTTGGCAATTTCGTAACAAAACCCTAAAAACAATATGTAATTTACAGAAGCAGAAAAAACAAAATACAATGATTGTTAAAGAAATAAAATGCGAAATTTCTCTTGAATCTCATGAAACTTCAACACATGTAGCAACCTGTAATTTACACATTAGCTCAACAAAACTACTTGTAAAGCTTAATCAAGAAAGATAATCAATTAACATATATCAATATGTGAATATCAATGTATATGTATATGTCTCCCCCTCAATTTTAGAAACTCTCCTCCTCAAATGCACACTTCTCCCTCTTTTTGTTACAAATTGACAAATAATACCCAAGAAAATAAATAATATGGGAGAAATAATAAGAAAACATATCAAAACTATCATCCATACATAAGATATTACAATAAGCACAAAAACATGATGATATATAGTAGAAATGGAACCAAAGACAAGTATCCAAGATAACACATGTTCCATCCACAAGATAAAGAAGATCAATCATGCTCAAAATCACATGATATCTCCATCAAAAAAGGAAATTTCTAAAAAGAAAAAACTAAAAGGAAAATCTTTTTGGATTTTTTTTTATTTGAACAAAAATAATGAGATAGAAATTTCCATGAATTTCAAGTATACATGATGTTGGCCTAAGGATTTAATCTAAAGGTCAATCTTATATTTTGATGATTACAAACCATTAATGATGTTATGTACTAATATTTTCCTTGAGTGCTATATAGTTGATCAATTAATTCAATCCTCAATATTGAGCCAGAAGCATTCTAAGTACTCAAGCAATAGGATTCAAGGAAGCATTGAAGTTGCAAGAATTCAAAGATTATTCAAGTACTCCATCAAAGGCTAACCGATCATGGTCAAAGATTGAAGGAAATGGTAGATTAGATGGTGAGAACTTAAGATTTAATGTCAA